TGCCCTTTTCAGCTGTGAATCTTTACCCAGGTACCTCTGTTCCCTCTGAAGGAAAGGGACCAAGTTGTGCATTTTGCAGCACAGAGAAAACGACCTGCTGTGCACCTGAATTTGCTGCCATGGATTTAAAAAGAGTTCCATTCCCATCACTCTTCAAGATCACATTTAATTCAACTGGATTTTTTTTTTCCTTTCATTTGCTACACTGTTAATAGTGAAATTGTATTAATGAAATGTTTGGATTTTTCCATAGCACCTGAAAAATTAAGAAAACTTGCCTCAACCTGGCACCCTACCCTTCTCTCATGTGCACACACACACATGTTAAAAAACAGTCTATTAGAGCTGTGGATTTATAGAAGATCTCGGATGAGACCTTATACAAACTCCCTCCAAAATCCCAGGAAATTCAGTAGGAGTCTTGCCTGGGCAATAGCACCATAAAAAAAAAAAAAATCTGTTTCATCTGCTGTTTATTAAAGGGTGTTTGAAGCATAGTACTTATTTTCAGCTGCTGGCACCTATCTCTGTTTTACCTTGTGACACCTTGTGTTTTATTTAAAAATAACTCGTGGGAGTGGGGCCTTACAGAGTTTCTGCAGTGCTCCAGTTTCAATAGTTTTGTTGAGGCCAATAGCACTGTGTGAATGTATTTTTAGAACATCTGTGAATGCCATCAGGTCAAAATTATAAACCCAACAACATTCCCCCTCTCTGACCCCGAGGTCAGATATCCCATTTGTATCCTGTAGGCAGGATGATGCTGATTACATAGTTACATTTTCTAACATATTCTGCACTATAGAGCAGATTATTTTTTGTTTTTGTTCTCCCAAGGGGGGGGGGGGGCATATCAATATGAAACATTGATGCACAGAAAGTTCCACCTGAACTTGAGGAAGAACTTCTTTACTGTGCAGTGACCGAGCACTGGAATAGGGATCAGAGAAGGTGTGGAATCTCCCTCACTGGAGATATTCCAGACCCATCTGGACACAATCCTGTGCCATGTGCTCTGGATAATCCTGCTTGAGCAGAGAGTTTGGACCAGGTAACCCACTGTGGTCCCTTCCAACCTTGCCCATTGTGTGATTCTGTAAAATGCCATTGGAGTTTGGAATTTTAACTTCTCCCTTCACTTTTGACATAATGAGCTCTTTCCATGGTTTTTCTCCGAATGCTGTGGTTGGAGGTGTTTGTCTTTCATCTGGGCACAACAGCAAAACCTTTCTAATGGTGTAAAGCTTGTAAACTTGTTCACATGCAGTCTACATTTCGGGTCAGTTGTGGGTTGATACTGTGTTCCTTCAGGCCCCTCAGGTTCCTGTTCTATCTGTGTCCAGTGACACCTTGAGGCCAGTTCAGGCTCTGGGAGAAGGTGCATGGCCCTTCTGATTTGACAAAAAATAGTTCATCTGTCACTAATTACTCCAGCCACGTGCTAAGGTTGCTCTCTTTTACAACCGGAAAAAGTCATCTGAGGTCTATTTATTTACTAAACTGTAGCCAGTCAGGGAATGGTACTTTTATTTGCTCAGCAGTGCTGAACTTGAAAAGCCCAGTGCTTTCCTGCTTGCTTAAGCATCAGTCTTTAATTATAGCTCTTCAACCCACACATAAGATGTATGTGCACCCTTTGGGTACTTTTGTTTCAGGTTGAGACCAGTAATAAATCATCTGTTTGGACTGTTTGAGGATTAAGTGTGACCCTTGGGCAGTGCAAGTTGAGTTTTACTGTGTAGTTCTTACTCCTGCTGCAGCCTCTGTGGGCAGGGAACAGGCAGATTATTGCAATTACAGGGCTGTTAGTAGATGGAGCTATATTTAGCTTGAATTTGTCTGGCTTTAAATACCCTTGTTTAAGAAGGGTAAGTTAGTAGTGGAGTGGGTGTTTTTTGAAGCAGTGAGTTTTCTTAGGTGTTGCTAAACAAGCTTTCAGTAAACACTAATTACTGTGCTCTGTACAAAGGTGTGAAAGCAATTCTCCAGCCTGTGAAACAGACCCTTCTGGCCTTGATTGATCACTTAGGCTGGGCTGTTCTTGCCATTGCAAGAACAGTGTTATCAGCAGCCAAATGTGAATTTCTAGTGTTGTAGGTGGCCGTCTCCAGGCAGAGCTCTCTGCTTTGGCTGGATCTGATGGCAGTTGTAAGGAAAAGCAAGGTGGGATATTTGTTTCAGTACACTTGCACCAGTGCCAACCTTTTTATTACACCCTGCTATTCATTAGTGGTACATTTGGCCCTCAACCTTGCTCTTCGAGTGTTTTTTCTTCCAGAAATACTCCACTGACATCAGTAGTTAATCCTGACTTTTAGTGGGATAAGGGAGCAGAACTTGGACTAGCGGTACCACTCGCCTGTTTAGATCACATCACATCCATCCATCCTCTCTGAGTAACCTCTCTTTCCACAGTAAATGATCCCCTTTTTTCCCTTAGTAATGGCAGTTATTCACGCAATCTTTATTTCTGTCACGGTGTTTTTGAAAAATCTCCCACGCTGCTGAGATGGTTGGCTTGGGAGCTCTGGGACAGCCTGGATTTCTTGCTTAGTTTCTGCATCATTACAAAATGTTATCTTAATCCATGCTCACTGCAGACAGCCCAAGGGATTCATCTCAGCAGCTGGAGAGGTGCAGCAGAAATCCCCTCATTATCTCCTGTGGCACAAGTGTAGGCACCGCTGGGCAGAGCAGGAATAAGGCAGCAGAATAAAGGATTTTGACTTCTTTATCAATAAGCTATAAAGCTATTGGAGTATAATGTATGTCAGGCTCTGTCAGAAAGATCTTTTGAAGACAAGACTAGAAGGGTGACTTTGAAGTGTGCTGATTAGCAGGAAAATTCCCACTGCCTTT